TCAGCTTCCCAAAGTGCTGGGATTACAGGCTGAGCCATCAAGCCCGGCTAAAAATTCATTTTTAATCAGACACATATGATAGTCAGATTCTTATCAGTACTACATAAACAGAACAACCATACTAACTGGTTATCATTCCAAACCAAACCAACAGAATGCTTTAAAGAGAGCATGCAACCTCCATGTAGGTGAAGATAGGATTGCTATTAGACTTTTTGAAGAAATAATGATAGAACCTCTGAGGCCACACTATTAACTGAAGACTCAAAATATGAGTATACCTATATGCTCTCAAGTTCATGAAGTTAATAATAACTTTGCTGTTTTATTTTTTTCACTCCTTGAAGTATCTCTTATAAAATAAGAATGTTTTTAAAAATCCTTTTCTCAAAAATCAGGGAATCCTATTGCAAGAAAACAGCATGGTATCTAAAGGAAGCTTTGGGCAGTTAGAAGCTCTGGGTTCCTGTCTAGTTAATAACTGTTCTATGACCAGCTGCCTCTGAGCTCCAGTTTCTTAAACTAAAAAATGAATAGGCTGAACCAATTTATTATAAAACCAAACTTTTTTACTCTGAATACTAAACCTACTCCATATTATTTTATAACTATAAAATCTTGTTATTAGGCCAGGTGTGGTAGCTCACGCCTATAATCCCAGCTACTTGAAAGGCTGAAGCAGAAGGATCACCTAAGCCCAGCAGGTTGAGGCTGTAGTGGCAGTGAACGTGCCACTGCACTCCAGCCTGGGTGACAGAGTGAGACTCTGACTCAAAAAAACTCCAAAAAACAAAAAAATCCTGTTATTCTTTTTTTATTTTAAAGTGTAATAAAAAGCCACACTTTTTAGCCACAGAATATGAAACAAGCCTTGACAGCCAGCAAGATGCCATTATACTGGTCAAAGATACTCCAGAAATACAGTTATTTTCTCCTCCACTTTCCCCAATTACAACAAGTTCAATTTTAGAACTTCTGTTCAAACTTATTGAGACTGGGTATCTTACACACATTTATAATGTCTTGGGCATTGGCTTGGAAAGGCAATCCTCTCATGTGGACGAAATGCAGAGATGGTGTAGTTCCAAAATCCACAGCCTCTGGAAGCTTCTCTGACACCTCCTTAGGCAATTCTAAAAGGTGGAACAAAAAGCACTATCAATTATCATGTCAATCCTCAATTCTCTTTGAATCAGTGAAGGGCTTTATAAGTCAAAACAATCTGAAATTGCTGCCACTTAACAAATATCACCTGAATACCTGTAAGCATTTAGTGCCTCAAATCATTACCAGATTAAGAATTTTATTTCCTATTTTTATTTTAAATATGT